CATTTAGACATGCGTCTTTAATTTCATATCAAATTTGGATTCAAAGTTATTTTGTAAAATATTTATTTTATATAAAATAAAAATAGTACAGTACATTTTCTTTACAGTAAATGTAAACTTCTATAACTTTATGCTTTCTTTTTTTTTTTTTATGATTTCACTTCTGCAATAATCTGCTAATTGTCTTTAAAAAGAGACCAATCTTAGGTCTGTATTCAAAAGCGTTCATGAATTATAACAATTTAAGTTTGAATAGTGCACTTTCACGTCTAGGTTCAAAAAGAGGGGGTGACAGTTAAGAGCTTGATTCAGGACTCTTTCATTAATAGAAAGTTCAAAAGAATGGCATTTATTTGAAATAGAAAACACCATAAATGTCTTTTTTGGATAAAAGTATTTAATTTAAATAAATCTCACTGAACTTTGGAACCAATCACAGTGTGTCTGTAAGAGCGCGTTCAATCATTCCACCATTAAATGTGTTCATGGCTCCGCATGGATCAGGTTTCCTGCTGACGCACTGCTGAGATCTTTAGCCTGCATGGGCTTATGATCCAAACACCTCGTCTTCTTCAGGAAGGCCCGCTGGTGCCGACCTCTGTTGCTATGTTTTGATTAGAGATGCTTTGGATTAGGGATGCGAGGGTTCAGTAATGTTACAAAAACACTTCCATTCCACAAGCACGAGCACGGACCGCAGCGCTCTGAACTGGTTTGGCAGTCAGGGACAGATGTCTCTTTCTCTGGACAGCAGCAAAAGCGCTTTCATCTGCTGTGGCTGATGCTGCACTGAATCAACTCCACTGCATCAGACATCTGCTTCGCATTCAATCACTCCACCAAAACTCATTTCCATTTCAGTTTTCCACATTTGTTGCCATCTTGCAAATGGATAAAGGCATTTTTAATACTAGTCTTGATCTGTCCATTTTTACTGGTCACTTATAAACCCTATACAGTATAAAGTGCATGATATAAATCCTTACCAAAGTATATCAGCCATTCCTACAATACATTTTATTTATAAATATTTAAAAGTATATTTAGAAATATTCAGTATAATTAGTTTCCTCATTTGTTCCTTTCTTTAATTAAAACATATCAAACAAAAAATAATTAGAATATTGTTTCAACTTATAAGTACTTTTACGTTTACGTACACTGAAGACTGGAGTAATGATGCTGAAAATTCAGCTTTGCATCGCAGAAATAAATTACAGTTTAACATTCAAATAAAAAGCATTTATTTTAAATTGTTAAAATTTTTCACAATATCACAATATTACAATTTTTACTGTATGCATATAAATGTAGCCTTGGTGAGCAGAAGAGACTTCTTTCAAAAGCATACTGACACCAAACAGCATATACAGTATTGAATTTTTTTTTGATGTCCTCAATATTGCTTTGTTTATGGTAAACCCTTTTAATATAAATACCTGCTTAATATTACAGAACAGGTATGTACGTTTAATAGAGGTTACAGAGGAACTGCAGAACCGGATGACTAACATCAAGGTGTACAACATGGGTATTTTTTCACACACTGATTGACGAGGTCTTACCCATGGCTGAATTGGCTCTTTTCTAAAGTATTAAAGGATCAGCTGCCTTACCGCGCTCTTTTTTTATGATGGGCGCTTTGAAGATTTTCTCTTGCCCTGGTCAACTCTGGATTAACTGACTGAACTCTGAGTAACTCTACAAGCACATCCAGCTCATTTCACAGCTCAACAGCAGCGCTGCCGATGGGGGTCGACAGACAGACAGCCATAAAACAGGACAACGACTGCGTTTCTCTTTGTTTCAGAAATCAAGGCAAACCAGCTATCTCTGCTAGACAGCCTGCTTTCTTTGAGTCAGGACTTCTTTGATTGACTTCTGTGAATATTAGCGTCATCAAGGTATAGCATAGTGGATCTCATGAAAACCACATCAGGTCATATTTCATGCCAAAATATTTTGCAGCAATTAAATTCATTTTGTTTGCTTTTTTGTATTCTGAGCAATTAAGCATGTTGCCCTATTATTACCATAATGCACATGGATGCATATGGACCCCTAAGGGGCAAAAAGTAAAAAATTACACTATTATTACATATATATCTATGTATGTGTGTGTGTGTGTTTGTGTGAGAGAGATTTTTAACGTTTTGCCCCTTAGGGGTCCATATGCATCCATCGAAAAAAATCAAACTTACATAAAAATAATTTAAAATATTTAAAATAATGCAATGCAATCTTCATTGCAGTGCCAAAAAAAAAAAAAAACCCTAAATGTAAAAAAATGTTATTCTAATATAAAATATTAAATATTACAAATAATCTTCATTGCAATGCAAAAAAATATATATCCATATATTTTAGGAAGAGTGTCATGATATGTTGAGGGGGGCCTGAGGCATAAATAGTTTGAAAACCCCTGATGCAGAGTTCAGCCTAACACCAACCCCTTTTGTTTTTGAATGATTAACACATTCATTGAGCATTAACTTCCAAAAGCTCAAAAGTGTAAATATGCAAATGGCTCAAAGGAGCAGACATTAAGCTCAAAGGAGCAGGCATTACAGCGAAGGATCTGCAAATAAAGACTTGACTGTTTAAAACACAAGCCCACTACTCAGTCAAGCCTCTGCATTGTTTGAAGCTGATTCAGTTGTCTGTGGCTTCAGGGACTCTTATTAGCAAGTGAATCAATTAGCATGTCAATGGGCTTGTTGAAGATCTCCAACACCTTTTTGATGGTTGAAAGTGTGAGTCAGAAGAGCTGAACCTCCTGCGGACAGGCAGAAACACAGCCACCCCCATCGAGACTGAAGACGAGCCAATCCAGAGGGTGATGAAGGCAAGAAAGAATGAAACCCAATGAAGACTGTTAAACTGGCTGGCTGGTTTTAGCTGGTCTGCAGGCTGGTTTTAGAGGGGTTCTGACCACTTCTTTAGCTGGTCAGGCTGGGAGACCAGCTTAAACCAGCTAAGATCAGCTTCGGCTGGTTTTAGCTGTTTTGTTTTCCTCCCCAGTAGGCTGTATTATCACACAACTCTTTATATAAAGTTGGGCATATCTTACATCCAACTTTATCTGCATACATTACATTCGCATAAAGTGATATTATATAGCAAATCTCAACTGCCCGACAGTGCATTTTAGTATAGTATTTAGAATCAGGTTATATATATATATATATATATATATATGTATTGTTTTAGCACGCAGGTTATTCTGCGTCGGCATTTTAGTGCCACATTAAAAAAATTAAATAAAAAAATCTAAGATTACGAGATTAGTCATATAAATAAATAGCAATAAAATAATTTTTACAAAGATTTTATGCTTTATTAATTTTGTTATGTTTTTTGCCATTTTTAGTAGCTCTTAAGAAAAAGAAATACAAAGAAATAGTTTGTTATATATATTTTATTTTGAGTAACAAAAATGCTTTTCATTGTTTTAATTTTAGTTACAGTTTTAGTTAACTATAATAATCCTGCTAGCTGATTTTTTTTTATTTTGTTGCAACATATTGCACAGCTCTTTCGATCAAGTCGAAAGTTCAAATTCATTCGCATTTATACAACATGCGATATATACTATATAGCAACTTTCAACTGTGCTTGCTTGCATTTTCGCAAAATAAAAACTATATTAGTTTTAATTTGCAAAATGTGGCTATTAAGCATGAAGATATAAAGATATAAACATTAGCATGGTGACTGCCTGTGAAGCTGCTTTGAAACAATGTATTTTCAATAATACCGAAAAACAAGATTAAGTTCGAAAAATAAGAAAGCTGTGAAATGCTAATATTTGTAAACATTGCACTGATTTGTTTAACTTTGTTTCTATTTCTTATTGTATTTTATTTTTATTTGTATTTGTAAATCTTTAAAACCATTTTTAAGTAAAAATCGCAAGAACGCGTTGTGCGTAAGTTACACTCTAAAAAACGCTGGGTCAAAACAACCCAAACGCTGGGTCAAAACAACCCAATAGCTGGGTTTGTCCCTTTTTAACCCAGCGCTGGGTTATATTTAACCCAGCATTTTTTAGAGTGTATGCTCTGGTTAAAACGTTCGTTCACACAGAACGCGTTTTTGCGGCGTTCTAAAAACCCGGCGCTTTACAATAAAAGAACGCATCTATATACCTAGTGATTTTTAATCCACTGTCCTGCTTCTCACGTTTATAAACGCACAAATGCGTTCTGTGTGAACGAGCCCAAGCCAGTCGGAGGTGAAATTTGTGGCTGAACTCAAAAACACTTGTAGAGGCTAGAATGATAAACAAGAGTCAGTCACGCCTAATCAATGAGCTCAACTCTTTCCACTGCTCCAGGCCCACAATCTCAAGCGCTGTAGCACAGGGTCATAAAGCTGGCAGGAGGCACCATGCACGTCCCATCCCCCTTTAAACTCCGGCCAAATGGCCAAAAAAAAGAGTGCAAATTCAAAACAGGAAATTTCAACATCTGTCACCCTCCTCCCTGCAGGGAGGGAAACGAATTAACAAGAAATCACTCCCAAAATATGCATCTGATTATCAACATCCAATTTCAACAAACAAACCCGACGGCTTTGGTGAAACATTGACTGAACTTGATTTCAAGGAACAGTGGAGTACAGATCAAAGCGGAGCAAAAGGTGCACGGACATAAAATGAACTGGATCTGCTTCTGTTAGGATGCATTGAGGAATTTAGCGGAAATATGGCAAAACGCATATTCATGTGCAGGTGATAATAAATCATCTCACATTTACAGACAGACGGAACTGGAATACAAAGTTTGCTTCAATTTCAACTTCAATTAAAAATTTCTTTGGTTGAATGGTTTGAATAAACATGATGTTTAAACTTCAGCAAAAACACTACTTTTATTTTTGCTCATAATTCTAGTCAAAGTTCTAATTTAGTACTGATTTGATTTCGTGCAATAAAATGCAAGCGCAAAAACAGAACGTTTACATCACAACCCGGGAAAAGAAAAGTAGGAAAGTCTTACCTGCGTATGTAAATGTTGTGAGGAGGACGGATATCAGCAAAAGATGAGCTCCAGTTGTAATCCTTAGTAAACACATCCTTACAGCGAGCGTTTCTCTGATGCAGCTGCACTCGGGAATCAGCGCGGATCTCTCCACGAGTGATATGCGAGTTCTGCGCGTGCGAACAAAGCGCGTTTTGTCTCAAGTGTGCAGTGAATGAAACTCTTTTTGATGGTTCGTTTGCAGAAGAATAGCGCGTTTCATCCCGCTCTATCGAAAGGTGTTCGTCGACCGCCGCTGATCCTGTTCAAGTGTCCCAAAAGTCTCCTAATGGAAAAGCGAGCGAGTAACTCCAGCTCCTCGGAACGTAGGACGGATCCATCCCGAGGGAGGGAAGCGAATTTCCGAATCCTACTCCGACAAAGGCGCCGCTCATGAATATTCATGACACGCAATCATCAGGACCGCTTGATTGGCTGAAACGCAAACGTTGATTGGCTAATGAATATTAAAGAGGTCACGACGCTCCACGAAGGTGAGCAGGAATTTCTAGCCATAGTAGGATTAGTGATTTGGAAATGAGACTGGAAGTTTGATAAGCTTGAACAAACACGACTCCTACTGGTGAAAAGGTTTGAGATTTTATAAAAAAATAAATAAAACAAAAGGCAAGGATACATCAAATTCATCAAAAGTGACAGTAAAGGCGTTTACATTGTTATAAAAAAAAAATCTATTTCACATAAATTCTGTTCTTTTGAACTTTCTATTCATTAAAGAATCCTGGAAAAAAATTTTTTATCAGTTTCCACAAAGGAATAAGCCTCGCAACTGTTTTTAACATTGATAAGAAATGAGCAGCAAATCAGCATTGTATGCCCTGTAAATCATGACATATAAAAATAAAGAAAAATCAGTTTAAAAAATATAAATTTAACAGTTTAGTGAACCTTTAGACAAAATCTTTAAAAATAAGAATTTTATTCAGAGGCCTAAAATTACCAAAAGTGGCCAAAAAGTAAGATGAAATTCGGATATAATGAGATCTTTATAACAGTATAACACTACTTTACATTAAATTATATCAATATCAATTGTCACTATATTTCTCAATCATAAGATGATATTTAAATGCTTAGTTTAATGATTAAAAAATTATCAATGCAATGCAATACAATGATTGAGAGATGAACAAATAAATGTTACATTCACCTTTTAAAATTTGTTTTTTTTAATGATGTCTAGATGATTAAGTAACCCTAAGTTGTGTGCTCATTTTGAAATATTACCAACAATATAAAACCAACTCTCATATTTGCTTTCTAAAAATCAGATTTCACAAGTAAAAAAACATGAACCACAAGCTGAGTTTGGACGTTTGTACAATAATAATAAAAGACCTTTTACTTGCTAAAACAGTATAAACTATCAATCAGACGGCAGAAGGCATGAAGTAGATTGTGTGAAGCAAGCTTCAAATATGATTCAGTAGGCAATTCATTCTTGGAGATGAAAAAGATGATAAAAACCAATGCAACATTCCTATTTACAGGCTGAAATGGGTTTTATTCTTGAAATTTGCTTGAAAACAATGTTACAATTTTGATATAATGACAATCACAGAACCTAAACCAGATCATATTTGATATGCTATAGACCCAGTACTGCATAACTGCATTATTCAGAATGCATGGATATTAAAAACAACAACAACTCAATATGCAGTGCATAAACATTGTGAAAGGATTCTCATGTAGTAAAGAAGTAACTCTTTGGTCAAAGGTAACAAAGGAATGTAATTATTAGTGTATATAAAAAAAAATTTTTTATGGCATATTTATTGTTGATTAGTCAAGATCTCCCATCATTATTCAAGGCGATGAACACAACATATATAGGTTTAATGGTGCGCGAATAACCAGCTCTGCATCTATTTCAATGTGAAATGAAGACTAAAATAATCAACATTATCTGTACAGCAGGTATGGAAAACAAATATAATACAAGCAGGTTCAATCAGTGTATTCATCCAATGGAGTTGTGCCGGGTCAAAGGTCACCGAACCATCAGGCGGGATGGCTCTCGCTGTCATTGACACATGTGAAGCTTTATGCTGTTGAAGGTGATCGGACGTCATTTCAGGATCTTCACAGCTGCTTCTCGAATGCACTGCGCTGCTTTCTCCATCTCCTCCTGCGTCTGCTCAACAGTCACGACGACTCTGATGCTGAGGACACAAGATGTGCAAAAACATCAGTTTCACAGCAAAACATGAACTGCTTTTATTGATGGAATAGTTGTCAGCTAATCACCTTGGCGGTGGAAGAAATCGCTCTTCTTTGTCCAGGTATCGAGCCAAAGTGAGCGCGATCTGTCTGTCCAAACTCTACAGACAGGACAAAAAATACGAGATTCTTTTCAGAGTACTTACACAGCATTTACTGTGCTTTTCAACGTCAACGGGAACTCAAAATGTACATTTGTATATCCTTTCATAAATGCGTGTGATATATTATAATTGTTCATTGTAGTTATTAATATAAATACATTTAATTATTTACTGAGCATTGAAGAATCTTACATTGCGGTTTTATTAAATTCCACTTTGCATTGTGCTTCTCAACTACTGATGGACACGTATACAGTGCAGGCTGATTAACTGACTCGCATGTCGAGAAAACTGCATCGCCAGATTAAAAAAAAAAACTAATTTAGGGTAAATGTTGTGTAGCAATTTCATTTCATTTTAATATTGTGTGAATTTCATTTTATGCATATTGGCAACAATGCACCGTAGACGGAAATATCTCTGAAAACCGTTCCTTTTTGGCTGACGTCAGGAATCTCTCTTTTTAAGTCCTTCCGTCCAAACACATACCGTTTAAAAGCTTGGGGTCGAACTCTATAGAAATATATTCAACCATATGCCCCGATAACCACAACTAAGACTACTGACTTGTCTATGATCTGCTGGTGTAACGTACGTAATCGACGATCGCTCGGAGCAGCTTCAGGTCATTTGTTCTGGATCCAGTGCTGTTTTCCAGCTGCAGATGGAGAGCAGGAGTTAAAGGCTCTCCGACCGTCTTCAGCCCTGGAGTCCTGCAAAACCACCACTGAAATCATCACTCCTGTGATGCACAACACACAACCAGCCAGCACAATGAACATTCAACCGGTGCATGAGGTCAGGAATGACTTCTAGCTCCCGGACATTAATATTGCTCATAATAACATTGATGTTGTTTTCAAAGATCGTTTCATTTTTTTTCTCTCATGGAAAAAAGGAAGTAAATTGGACTTGCCCTTGTAGTGCTTTGTGCATGTGTTTGCACTTATCCTGCAGAACCCTGAAAATGCCTGAGAGAACATGAAAAAAAATACTACAATTAATGTGAAGTTTTGCCCAAAGCATGCTCTACACAAGAGAGTGAATGCATGCAGTTTAATGAAACTAAACGTCACGTGCTGTTGCATTCAAAAGGAACACAAGCATCAGCATCAGCTAGTATCATCATTGATCTGAATAATAACACACACAGTATATTTTAATGGTGCAGACATTTTGAGAAAACTATATGATCCTCTTCAGTCTGTTACTTAGTGCTTTACACAATTATTGGCATTTTTTAATAAAAACATTTTTCTGATTGGCCAGTAAGTGTCATAAGCACTTATTTTGACAGATATCTAAAGAATCTTTTTTAATCATCTTTTTAAAATATGTGACCCTGGACCACAAAACCAGTCATAAGGGTCAATTTTTTCGAAATTGAGATTTATACATCATCTGAAAGCTGAATAAATAATCTTTCCATTGATGTATGGTTTGTTAGGATAGGACAATATTTGAAAATCTGGAATTCTTAATTATTTTAGTAAACATTATGTAAATTAAATTTAATTGCAGCAATTTTTACTATCTAGTTTCTTTAAATAAATAGTGTGCTATCACATATTTTGGGTTTATATTTGCCATTCTGCTCTACAATTCGGCATCAACCATCAACCACTAGTTACAATCACAGTAATGCAAGCATGCACATTAAGTATGTACACCTAGACTGCACACTTGATATTCACCATTTTTTGATTTGTTTGATGTTTTCGGCCTAAAACTATGCAACAGAGATCAAAAGATCCAGGCTGGGTTGATAATGAGCTGATGTTGGCATGAGTGAGGCTGGTGTTCAATCCACACACACTAACGTGAATCAGCTGACCTCCACTCAACTCCCACTGAGAGAGCCATCTGAACCACATCTCCCTGAGAAGAACCAGTCTGACCACGGTCTCTCAACATTCATTCAGAGACAAACAACTGATTCTGCCGACGCTGTGCTGCAATATTCACTGTGCCACGTCACGCCTCAGTACTGAAGCACTGCACCGCGTATGCATTTCAATGATTTCTTCTAGTCATTCACAATTACAGGATGAGGGTTTTTACAAACTTTGGACACAAATTTCAACCTGATTAAATATTTCTGAGCTGAGCATAACTAGAAACATGTATATATTCACTCCAGAAATCTCCATCCTTTAAGACTCATTACATTTCTGTCCCTAGCTGCCGAGATGCATGAGTTGTTAAGAATGTTTCTATGTGGTTGCTTTTGGCCCAAGTCCAAAAGAGCAGAGGATATAGTGGTCCATTGATATGACATGGTTCCCTCGTCAGTCTACGGGATTTTTTTTTCCTTTTAACGTCAGCCAAGCAAAAGGTTTTATTCAAACTAAATGTGACTAATAGTACAAGTGATGTGTATATATATATATATATATATATATATATACACACACTGTATATATATTATGTGTTTACTTGTGTTATCTTTTACTAATATTTAAATTAGTTTGATGATCTGAACATTAAAGTGTGACAAACATGCAAAAAAATAAGAAATCAGGAAGGGGGCCAACACTTTTTCACACCACTGTATATATATAAGGAGGTAGATTTAGCAAATCCAAAATGCTAATGATATACTAAATGAGTGAAGAAGGTAAAATGCATTTGTTTTTGTGAATGTAAATGTTACCTGGATCTTCCTCCATGATGTTGAGGGCTTCAATAGCAGCAGAGGCCAGCATGGGTGGAAGAGATGCTGAGAAACAGTAACCCTGACCCGACAGACGCTGACAACATCAAAAACACACATTCACGTTCATTTCTGAGTGTAATAATTATGGGAAACAGCAAATCTTCTTTAGAAGAATCCATCTGGATTTGTGATTTTCACAAAGGCTATACAACATGTTAATGTATTTAAACAAAACTCGGTGGGCCACAATGATTTGGACATGAGACGTTCGGAGACAGTGGTACCTGGTGGAAAAACTATGCAAGCCACTGAATTGTGAGATATAAAGATGCAATTGTGGGTTATGAAGTCATAATTGC